AAACCCGGCGAGGATGAACTGGTGGTTACTGTGAGGTGTGGCAAGGCTCAGGTAGAGGCAGGCAGGCTGGGCGAGGCAGGCAGGCTGGGCGAGACAGGAAGTGGTGCGGATGTGAGTGTAATTCACCGGTTGTGACTGGCTCTCCTCACCTAATGACCCCAAAACAACAGTGATAAGCTCCAACATTCCTTGTGAGGTGTGGAGCTGCCCCGGCACCTGGAGACTGAGGCCACGCTCACCCAACACCTCAACACACTCCCACTACACATAACGGCCATAACTGGCCCACCTCTGTTGGTGGTGGTGGCGGCGGCAGGTGTGTGGTAGTGTACACACCTGCGGGGCCGGCACGCAGACTGCTCACCGCGTTCTCTTTCATTTCATCAGCTGATACACCTCTCCCTATGATACACCACCCTGCCTCCCTCCCCTGCCACCCACCACCAGTGGTAGGTGGGTGGCCACAACCCACCACCAGTGGTAGGTGGGTGGCTTCAAGTAAAGTAGGGGGAAGGGGTGTGAGAATGGTATGATAGAGAGAGTAAAGCCAGTAGGTTACGGTAAGAAGGTGTCCCATAGTGTGCTCTTCGCTCTGTGGCTCTGGCATCGTCATAACATATACAGTCTGGAACACAACCCACGCGTTCGTCTCCTCTAACCTTAACACCAAAATTTGTACACGAAAATTGCCGCGGTTGATGACGTAACATTACAAGCGCATATTAGCATAGTCTTGCGGTGGGCAGCGGGCAAGTTTATATTGACCGTTGAGGAACATTAATGCAGGAAACAAGTGTGTGTTGGAGGAGCGGAGTGACCAAGTGCACCATCTTGGAGTAGTGGCGTCACCCCACCAAATGTTGGCAGCGTTAACCAGAAAATAATGTGATGAATAGAGAGAACTGTCGACACGAGGGGCTCATCGTGGTGATGATACTCTTGAAGGTTGTTGATTATAGTGATGTGGCCACGTCCACCTTCCAGGCAGGCCAAGTATAGGTGTACACACATCCTATAATACCTACAACCTACTGAGATCACTTGAACGTACTCGGTAGCTCTTAGGAACGGAGACCAGAGATGTGTCGTTCACGTGGGGGATACTGGAATGTCACCTTCCAAACATTCACAATCAGATTGCAACAATTAATTACAGGAACGGAGGCGGACTTCATCAAGAAACTCAAGAGTTCCTGCAAGAAGTGCCCAACCAACCAGGTTGTAGTGGATACACGGGCCTGCGAGCCCGCTCCAGACAACAGTCTTTTGGACCAATTATTACAAGTCACAGTCTTGGGAAGTCTTAAGAACTCCCAGAACCCATTCCAGGTAAATGTTGTGCCCGCCTTTGGAGTACCGGTCTCTATCCAGGCCTCCTGGTTGGTAAGTGGGCCAAAAAGTTTACTCTTTGGAGGTTTTTATCAAGTTCTCTCTTGAACACTGTCAAGGGTCGGCCAGTTATGCCCCTTATGTGTAGTGGAAGCGTGTTGAACAGTCTGTGATGTTGATAGAGTTCTCTCTCTGAGTACCTATTGCACCTCTGCTTTTCCACGGGGGTATTCTGCACATCCTGCCATGCCTTCTGATCTCATGTGGTGTTATTTGTGTGTGCAAGTTTGGGCAGTGTGAGTATCTTGCATTTCTACTATTTTTCACGTGTAAATTATTATGTATCTCTCCCGCCTGCGCTCTAGCGAATGCAGATTTAGGCATGATAAATTTTAAACTTTCTCAGTAATTTAGTTGTTATATTCAGTAGAATCTAGCAGTAAAATATCTTTGCACATTCTCCAGATCTGCAATTTCTGCAGCTGTGAATGGGGCTGTTAGTGAAATTTATGGAACAAAGTGTAAAACACACTAAATGCAAAATAGGGATGATATAGGCACAATTAGAGAACACTGATGCAGGGGGGGAGTGCTTGTGGAGTGGAGGCTAGTGACCCAAAGGTCACTAACACAAATAGCTTCATTGATCAGAGATGACTGGGAGCAGGTAATGACTGGGAAGCGTGTAAGAGTTGTGTGGAGGCCGAGCACAGGACACAGGCGGGGTGGCAGACGGCAGGAAGCCAGTGTTGTGCCCGGCCCACCCTCTCATTACACAAGTAATTGGGTGCTGAGGTTTACTGTGAATCGTCCCCGCTGGATCGCACCTTTCCCGTAAGTGCGGGTGGTGATTGTTGCAGTGATTGTGTGCTGTGATGTCTCGGTGGTGTAACTGGTCTTGGGGTTAGCATCATGTGTGATGTGTGTCGTGTATTCAGCCGCTCTTTCCCAAGAGGTCGTTGTCGAAAACCTTCGTTGACCTTTGATATTATTGCAATCGTTGGTGTTTAATATCGTTGATCTTTGCTATCATTGATATATGCTTTCATTAACCTTTGTTATCCATGACTTTGTTTTTCTTGGCTAACGTGATGACTTGTGTTGTCTTGCGAGGCCGCAGAGGGCAGCAGCAGCAGCAGCAGCAGCAGCAGCAGCAGCAGCAGCAGCAGCAAGTGACAGGCAGACTCGGGAGGTGCACACGCTGCAGTAGCGGTTGTGCACGTCACGTGTTGGTGGGTTTATAGGTCAGCTACTTGGGCCATAGGTTGATGTCTTGGAACTGTGGCCTTCTTGGAAGACCGAGACCCCCCGTCACTCCTCCCTTCCTTCCCCGCTCCTTCATCGCCTGCTCAACTTCCGGTGGGTGGGGCTTACTCCTCCTATATTGAGTCGTGGGTTCTAGGCTTAATGCCTCGCTCAGTCCTGGGTTACAAATATCAAAACAGAAACTACATATAAAACAGTCAAGTTTTATTTATAAACAGTCTTCTCTATTGGAAGAGAAGCAATATAAAAGTGTTGGCAGTAATCGTGTCAAAAGAGCTTACTTTTAAAGAACATAATAAAGTAGCTGTCGCAACTGCAAGACAAATAACAAGTTGGTTAACAAGGACCTTGCAAACAAGAGATGCCATACCGGTGGTGATACTTCTCAAGACGCTAGTGCTCTCTAGAGTGGAATACTGCTGCACAATGACAGCCTCTTTCAAAGCTGGAGAAATTGCTGACCAGGAAAACGTGTCAAGTTCCTTTAGTGCCATAATCTACTCAATAAAACATCTAAATTATTGGGACCAACTAAAATTGTTAAATCTGCATTCCCTAGAGCGCAGGCTGGAGAGAGAGATAATAATTTACATTTTGAAAATACTAGAATTGTTAGTTCCAAATCTACACACGGAAATAACACACGAGACCAGAAGGCATGGCAGGATGTGCAGAATACCCGGTTGGAAAGCAGAGGTGCAACAGGTACTCTGAGAGAGAACTATCAACATCAGAGGCCCGAGACTGTTCAACACGCTTCCACTACACATAAGGGGCATAACTGGCCGACCCCTCACAGTGTTCAAGAGAGAACTATCAACATCAGAGGCCCGAGACTGTTCAACACGCTTCCACTACACATAGGGATCTAGTGTACGAGTTTTTGCCTTAGAGCAACGATGGCTCTTGTCGAGGCATCGTTGATATTTGCTATCATTTAAGTTTGTTATCGGTAAGCTTTGTAGAGCTTTGTTGTAGGATTATGTGGAGGTTGTGGGTGTCACCGCCCTGTGGTTCTCTCTCTGCTGGTCCTCCGCAGTAGAGTGGTGGCATCTCCACTTTAATACATCCCCGAAGACATTAAATGTTGTCACACATTAACCTAACTGTAAGACAAATGATAGACTGGTTAGCAAGAACCTTTCTAACGAGAGATGAAAAATTAGTTACGGTACTTCTTAAAACACTAGTGCTCTCTAGGGTGGAATGTTGTTGCATACTAACAGCCTCATTCACAAATGGAGACGTTGCTGATCTGGAGAACGTGCAGGGATCTTTTTCTGTTCGAATCCATTCAGTAAAACATGTAGATTATTGGAACCGGCTCAAACTCCGTCGGACAGAGACCAACTCTTATACACATTGTGGAGTGCAAGCATCTTCTAAACACAAGGCTGACATTCCTCTGTCTTCAAGATGGAACTTGATACATGCCTCCAAAGGTGCATGATCAACCGAGCTGTGACTCCTACGTCGACCTGCGCAATGCGGCAGGTAGTCCGGTTGACTAGACCAACAACCTGTAAGCCTGGTTAGAGACCGGGCCACGGGGACACTGATCCCCGGAACCAATGCAGCCTGCAGGTAGGTAGATGCCACACAACATGAGCAGCAGTTGTGATGGTGCTTGAGTGGTTGTATTGTGGCACTGCGGCCTTGAGTGCCGACTCCTGGCAGGTAATGAGTGCTTCAGGTCATGTTCCGGTGGCACTCAGACTTGGCTACAGTTTGGTCCCTATAAGTCTAAGTGGCACTCAGACTTGGCTACAGTTTGGTCCCTATAAGTCTAAGTGGCACTCAGACTTGACATGTGACAAATTTCTTACATATTCTGTTGCTGTTAGGCTTCGACTGGCACCATTGACAAGAGTTTTGGCTGGTAATACTATCAAGTTTTTGCTAGTGGTGGAGCTGGTGTGTGGAAGCTGGCCCTCAGGGTGCCGCCTGGCCCTCAGGGTGCCGCCTGGCCCTCAAGTGTCTAGTGTGCAAGGGTCTTGTCACACTAATTATACCATCCAGCCAAGTATTCAGTTGTTATGTTCATTAAAGAACAGATGAAGGCCGAGTGTTGCTGTCGTGGGAGTATACACCAACGTTTTTATTGCTGTTGATCCATACCATTGTGTGTGTTGACCTAGCTCTACATTGTCTTTGTTGACCTAGCTCTACATTGTGATTATCTTCAAGTTCAAACGTTTATGTTATCGTCTAACAAAAGCTAAGGCAAAGGTGTATTGCCTGGATGGATAAAAGGTAAGGTTTTGCTTGTGACGTTAGTAAGAAGGGAAGTATTGGGATGGGTGTGGCGCGCGGGCGAGACTACTCGCTCCCACTGCAACCCAAGACCAGTTCGCCCACGCCCTCACCGCCCACGCCCTCACCGGTCTCTATCACCTGTTGCTGCTCCTTGCACGCCAGTACCACGGAGGTGCAGGAGGCGTGCGGGCGGGTAGGCACTCTCCACCTCCGACCCTCGTCAGTGCCTTCGTCGTCGGCATCACCGGGGCTGCTGCTCCCTCCCTCGTGTGCCACCACCCCCACCTGCTCCACGTAGGAGCACAGTGCCATATTCTGGCGGGTGGAATGTATTCGCTCGTCGCGTTGCTGTGTACAGGCAGTACTGGACTGTCGTGCCCACTATCGCTGGCTTGTTGAAGTGCCTTACCCGGTGTCACTAGTGCAGGTGCCTTTTCTCTCCTGCATGAGGCAAGGACGTTATCTAGCTTCTCTGTGCTAATACTGGTAACTGCCTTGTAGCACAGATTCAAGTGCCTTGCCGATGCCACAAGCTTGAGATGAGTACCTGTATTGTGGTAGACAATGCGATAATACCCAGACCTATTACAGGCTCTTGTTATCGTCCGTGCCCCAAGAGTGCGTGTAGGGTGACCCCAAGAGTGCGTGTAGGGTGACCCCAAGAGTGCGTGTAGGGTGACCCCAAGAGTGCGTGTAAGGGGCTGTGCGTGACACCACAGTCAGGAAATATTTGACGGAAAGGTGAAGACATTGTTCACGGGAAATTTGATTAAGTGGATGTGCTGTGTGTTTTGATTAAGTGGAAGAGTTAAGTGTACTGGGGTGTAGGAGTGTGTGTAGTGTTATGTGATGATATGTGTGTTGAAGGGGGTGTGGGGCCGGCTGCTCCGCCTGCTGCCTCTGTCACACCCAACCCGACACTGCCACTGCACCATGCAACAACACCTACACTCCCAGGCAAGTGTTGTAGTGATCTATTTGATGAAGGTATTGTCACATGTGGTGACATGGTAGCACTGTTATTGGTAGTGACGTGATAGTGGTTGTGTGGTGGCAGTTGTAGTAATAATTATAATTAAGAGTGTAAATGGATTAAATAACACTATTGCTTGTACTGGTGCGGCCTTTAAGGAAGGTTTATGATAACGTGTCTCCCTCCGCAGGTGTGTATGTTGTCAGCGGTGGTTCAGGTGTGTGGTGCAGGTAAGTCTGCCAGTGGTGGTTCAGGTGTGTGGTGCAGGTAAGTCTACCAGTGGTGGTTCAGGTGTGTGGTGCAGGTAAGTCTGCCAGTGGTGGTTCAGGTGTGTGGTGCAGGTAAGTCTACCAGTGGTGGTTCAGGTGTGTGGTGCAGGTAAGTCTGCCAGTGGTGGTGCAGGTAAGTCTACCAGTGGTGGTTCAGGTGTGTGGTGCAGGTAAGTCTACCAGTGGTGGTTCAGGTGTGTGGGGCAGGTAAGTCTACCAGTGGTGGTTCAGGTGTGTGGTGCAGGTAAGTCTACCAGTGGTGGTTCAGGTGTGTGGTGGTGGAGCCAACGCCGCTCACCTGAGACTTCCGTGTAAGAGGGTTTGCCAGTTAGTAAACAGTGAGGTGGAGGGAGCTGGTGGTGGGGGTGCTGGTGGTGGTGGTGGTGGTGCTGGTGCTGGTGGTGGTGGTGGTGGAGGTGGGGAAACTTGTCCACAGTTGTCAGCGTGGGATATATAGAGAGGCTTCCATCAACTCGTTCATGGTTGGTACGGGAATTGTACCAGGTGGCTGCGCTCACCTAGTTAATGTGTCTTACGTGTGGGGGGTGTCGTAGGGGGGGGGTGTATGGCTTGTGGCGAGGTTGCCAGGTACCGTAAATATTGTATGAACATACCAGATGGCAAATATTGAATGAATTTCCCTTGGGTTGAATGTGGGCAGGGTTGCCAGATACGTTGTTTTGAGGGAGCCAGTGTGAAGGTTACCAAGTCGTACCTACTATACAGGTTGCCAGTTGGTAAATATTGGGACGGTGGCAGTGTGTGGACCCGCCCAGCAGGACCCCGGCTCCTGGGGGGGGGGGGGAGGGGGCTCTTTGTCATGTTAACTCACTATTAGATGAGGAAAAAATATATATATTGAACAAACCTTTAGCACGTGTTAGCCTTGATGTTACTAGTTCCTATTAGGTCCTTGTGGTGGTGTGGGCTGGTGGTGGTGGTTATGGCTGTGGTGATGGTGGTTATGGTTGTGGTGGTGGTGGTGATGGTAGTTGTGTGTGCTGGTGGTGGTGGTTATGGTAGTTGTGCGGGGTTGTGGTGTGGGGTAGTGGTGGTGGGTATGGTAGTTGTATGGGATGGTGCTGCTGGTGGTACAGGAAGCAGTTATACAAGTTCCAGCAAAAAGTGACTGACCAACCGAGTTGTAGTCAATATGCGAACCTGCTGCGGGCCGCTCCGAGCAACAGCCTGATTGGTCCGAGGCAAGCCTGGCCCCAGGCCGGGCTTAAGGAGTATAACTGCGGAACCTTGTGCAGGTAGTGTGCCGTTGGTGGTGGTGGTGGTGAGGTAACACCAAGCCCTCCCCAGTGGTGGTGAGGTAACACCAAGCCCTCCACAGTGGTGGTGAGGTAACACCAAGCCCTCCACAGTGGTGGTGAGGTAACACCAAGCCCTCCCCAGTGGTGGTGAGGTAACACCACGCCCTCCCCAGTGGTGGTGGTGAGGCAACACCAAGCCCTCCCCAGTGGTGGTGGTGAGGCAACACCAAGCCCTCCCCAGTGGTGGTGGTGAGGTAACACCAAGCCCTCCCCAGTGGTGGTGGTGAGGTAACACCAAGCCCTCCCCAGTGGTGGTGGTGAGGTAACACCAAGCCCTCCCCAGTGGTGGTGGTGAGGTAACACCAAGCCCTCCCCAGTGGTGGTGGTGAGGCAACACCAAGCCCTCCCCAGTGGTGGTGGTGAGGTAACACCAAGCCCTCCCCAGTGGTGGTGGTGAGGCAACACCAATCCCTCCCCAGTGGTGGTGGTGAGGTAACACCAAGCCCTCCCCAGTGGTGGTGGTGAGGCAACACCAAGCCCTCCCCAGTGGTGGTGGTGAGGTAACACCTAGCCCTCCCCAGTGGTGGTGGTGAGGTACCACCAAGCCCTCCCCAGTGGTGGTGGTGAGGCAACACCAAGCCCTCCCCAGTGGTGGTGGTGAGGCAACACCAAGCCCTCCACAGTGGTGGTGGTGAGGCAACACCAATCCCTCCCCAGTGGTGGTGGTGAGGTAAGACAAGTGGCGGCGCTAGTGGTGGGGTCCAGCACTACTGTACAGTTGTGTAGTGGTGAGGAAGGACAAGGTGGACGCTCGCTGGAATATCAGAGTTCAGTGCAGGTCCAGTACACTTCTCCCTCCTGTTGACACCTCTCGGTCCTCACAGCTCTTCTTAGTACTCACCTTCCGGGAGTTGAGCTCTGGCTCTTTGGTCCCGCCTCTCAACCGTCAATCAACTGGTGTACAGATTCCTGAGCCTACTGGGCTCTATCATATCTACATTTGAAACTGTGTTTGGAGTCAGCCTCCACCACATTACTGCCTAATGCATTCCATCTGTTAACTACTCTGACACTGAAAAAGTTTTTTTCTAACGTCTCTGTGGCTCATTTGGGTACTCAGTTTCCACCCGTGTCCCCTTGTTCGCGTATCACCAGTGTTGAATAGTTTATCCTTGTCTACCCTGTTAATTTCCCTGAGGATTTTGTAGGTATTGATCATGTCTCCCCTTACTCTTCTGTCTTCCAGTGTCGTAAGGTGCATTTCCCGCAGCCTTTCCTGGTAACTCATCCCTCTTAGCTCCGGGACTAGTCTAGTGGCATACCTCTGAACGTTTTCCAGCTTCGTCTTGTGCTTGACAAGGTACGGGCTCCATGCTGGGGCCGCATACTCCAGGATTGGTCTGTGTGAGGTTGTTGGGTCGTTATTGCTCTTAGTGAGACATGCTGGTTATTACTGCTGTTCTTGAGGTGGTTTGGTAGTTACTAATTACCAGAGTGTGCTGCAGCTCCTGGGCCGCGATCCTTCTCCTTGGATGTTGATGGTGTGAGGTACAGCGTCCTGGGTAACCCCCCCCCCCCCAGCGCCACTGGGGACTCATCAATTCCGGTGATGATGACAGGGACGTGTCATTATATATATGGTGGAAGCTGTCATAATTATACAAGTGTCACATTGATCTATAAATCCAAACCACGTTGATATGTGACAGTAATTTGACTGGTGATAATTGTGGTAGTTACTGGTATTGGTGTGGTGGTGAGGGAGACGGGCCTGGTGACAGCGGCGGGACTCACCAAGGAGACGCCACCACCAGGAAGGTGGTCCAGTACCAGGAGGGCAGGAAGCGGCTAACCCACATAAGGTAACCCCACGGCCGCCCACCACCACCACCCGCCACCCCTACCTCTCTCTCCTCCTCCTCCTCATACGTTCTTGTTATAGATTCAGCTACTCTGAACAAGTTCCAAGTAGCACGGGCTAGGGTGAGCCCGTAGTAGACATACCTGGCACAGGAGCGGGGCTGTGTGAGAGCTCATACTCTCCACACCACCTTAGTAGGCCGTGTGGCCTCGGCCTACACATGCGCACTTGGGCAGGTAATAATGGGTGGTGGCGTAGGCCTGCACACAGGCCTCAGTAGGCAGGGGCACCAGCGGCCTACACCCGCACACTTGGCCAGGAAATACGTTGGCAGTAAACATGAGGTGACCTTTGATGGTTCACAGTTACACAATGCTTTACTTGCTCCTGGTGAGTGAGGTGATAGTGACAGGCTGTGGGGCTCCTACCGCCGCCTCCTCTACACCAAGCTCACTATCACCCTACACCACACCCGACACCACACAATCCTTCAACAAAATAATGAATGTTCAAAATACAATCATCACAACATCTGGAATAAAATAAATGCTTTGTCCTGGGTTCGTATCCTGGCCGGGGAGGTTTGACTGGGCGCCAATCCTTAACTATGGCCCTTGTTTACCCAACAGTAAAATGGGTACCTGGTTGTCAAACAATTTGGCGGGCCCGTATTCCATTTGAAAAACTAGTATTAAGGACGTGGCCGTAACGCTGTGGGTGCTCGTGGCTTTACAACAACGTAAGAACTCTAATATATAAAAATAAAATAAACGGAACAGAACGTCAATTTCGCGACCCGCTACCATTTTGTAGTTCAACATTTTTTACCTTATGCGGAGTATAGGGCACAATGTGAGGGTGTATTAGGAGGCCGGGGTGACATTACACCACTTGACTACTCTACACCGACCTCCACACTGACCTCCACACCACGGCTAATGCAACTCCCCCCCCCCCGGCCCCCCCAACCCATCACCTGTGATGCTGGTCCTCTCAGTGTGACGTGTGACGTATTTTATATCATTGATTGATCTCTATTTATCTTCCTGAACATATTGACACGAGTTACTGTGTAGCGTTGTAACATGTGTTGCTTTACGGCACATTAGTCATTGTCTTTAGCGGCCACTCGTATGTGAATGTGGATTTGTGTTATTTCCTGGGGGTTGATGGGGCTCAGTTTTGCTATTTCCTGGGGGTTATTTCCTGGGGGGGGGGGACTTCCTAACGAGCTGTGAGGCTGTGAGGAGGTGCTGAGGGCGCCTGGTGTTGTCTGGCAAGTGACAAGTGTTCATCTCTGGCAGGTGGTGAAGGGAGGAAGGAGAGGGAATATAGGCTGCCAGGGAGGTGAGGCAGGATAGGAAAGTGAAGGGTTTCCGTGGCCCCAAACGCTGCCGTTTGGGGCCAGCCGTTTGGTATCTGCCAGCCTGCTTTAGGTATTGTATGTATTACCTCTTTATAAGTCCAACATTATGTTTGTAACTCATCATCTATTTATGTACTTTTACCTGAATAAACATTTGATTTTTTTAATTTGAATTTGGATAGATGAGTGTGACAGTATTAGGAGGAAGGGGGGGGGGGGGAGGGAATAC